ACCGCCATGGTGGACTGGCGGTGCTAGCAGCGGTGGTCATGGGGGGGGCGGGCGCAGCTCGGGCTCGGGTGGCAGCTCTAGCGCGATCACCTTCTAGTACCAACTTCATACCAGCCCCCGCCGCGGCAGTGTCTACCTCCGGCCCGGCCACACCGCCGACCGCTACTACCGCCGCCTCGACGACCTGTTCCGCCACCGTTTCGGTCTTGCGTTGGACCCTCCGAACAGGTACACCCTGCCTCGCCATCGTGTGCCGGTCTTTGAGCTTGACATGGATCAGACAAGGAATGCTATATCTGTCATGTATGCTGATGACTCTAGTGTGATTGGACCCTATTACCTAGAGTTGCCTAGAGTAGGTATGTCCACTGTGTAAAGTCTAGGCTCCCCTGCTTCGTCAGGCGTAGGACCGTCTATCTTGTTTAGCCTAGGCTCAACACTAGCCCCTCCGTCGGCAGCCGCTAGCGCTTCGCTCTCCTTCACGCTTGACTCCGGTGCGTCTACCTGCTTCTTCCGCGACCACACTTCCCTTACACCGCTTGCCGCCCTTGCCACCGTCGCACTTGCAGACCCCACTTCAAGTCCGGTAGTTGCACGTAGCTCCACCACCCTTCCCTGTACGGCGGCCCCCTTGGGCACTCTTACACGCCTGCACATCCCGTCGTTCTCTAGGAACCTAGTTGGTGTCGGCTATCTTTAGGATCTTAGCGTCACCACTACGTTCCGCGGACACGAGCAGTACGCGGTCTACACCGAGACCACCACTGGTGCTCCTCTGACCACGTTCCCCCGGAACCCTGTGTCCGGCATGTTTATGCTTGACACTGCGCCCCCCCCAGTGCGAGCGTCCCCCAAGGTAGCCGTGGCTTGCTCCTGTCAGTCGCTCACTCACCCGACGCTGCTGTGGCACCACCGCCTAGGTCACCCCGCACTCCCGCGTCTACGTCACATGCCCCAACACGGTCTTGTCCTAGGTCTCCCTGCTTGCTCCCTTCCCTCCCTTGCTCGTCTGTGCCACCGTGCACGCCCTACGTTGAGGGCTGGCTGCGCCGTGCACCTCACTGCTCCTCGCTTCGCCCTGCCACCGCGCCACTCCAAACCCTGCCCTAGACGTCTTGGGTCCAGCACCCGTCCATGGGCCGTGTCGAGAGCGCTACTTCCTAGTGCTTGTCGACGACTACACGCACTACACTACGATGTTTCCTCTGGAGCAGAAGGCCGACGTGCCTGACGTTCGTATCCCGTGAGTCGTAGCTGCACGAGTCCGTGGAGGTCTCCCCGTGTTGTGTCTCCACACCGACCGTGGCGGCGACTTTGCCTCTGGTCAGCTTGGCCGGTTGTGTCGTGCGGAGGGCATCACCCAGTCGTACACCCTGCCGGACTCCCTACAGCAGAATGGGGTTGCTGAGCGATGCATCGGCTTGGTCATGGAGGTTGCTTGTACCTCCATGATCCATGCCGATGCACCCCATTTTCTGTGGCCGTTTGCTGTTCGCTAGGCCGCTCACCAGCTGGACCTCTGGCCCTAATCCCAGCGGCGGCACTTTTCCCCGACCCTCCTCTGGACTGGGTCTCCTGGTGACGAGTCTGCGTTCCATGTATGGGGATGCCTCACTCACGTTCGTGCCTCGGCCACGGACAAGTTCACTGTCCGCACTGTCCCCTGTGTCTTCCTTTACTTCCCCCTTGACTCGTTTGACTGGCACTTCTACACCCGCCGTCTCACCGCTTCCTTCACTCGCGTGACGTCACTTTCGAAGCGTCTGTCTCCTTTTTCCGTTGCTTTCCCCACCGAGGTCTCCCGGTTTCCCCACCCTTGTTTCTGGTCCCCACTCCCCCGGTATCCCCTGCTCCCCTCCCTCCCCGCCGTGCTCCATCTGGTGTGTCTCACGTCACTCCCCTCCCGTTGCTTGTACCGATCGAGGAGTCGGCTGATTCTGGTGGCCCCTCGGCGCAGTTCTTGCCGCCTGCCTCTCCCCTGGTGTCCCCTCCTCCGTCGTCGCAGTCGCCACCGCAGCCGTCGTCCGTGCCGCAGCAGCATCAGTCGCCACCGCATCTCATTCTCTCCTATGCATCTCGTCCTCCCCTCCTCCAGTCTCCTCAACCATCATTGCTCTCTGTAGCGCCTCCCCCTCTGTCTAACTACCTTCGTGTTGCACATCCTCTTGTTCCTCGGGTCCTTGCCTCATTCGTTACCAACCCGTCTGTCCCTGTCTCGAGTCTTTGACGCTCTTATCCCTGCTGTCGCTGACTTCGCCTCTACCCGCCGCCATGAATACGCCACAGCTCTGGTTTCTTGTTCTCCCTGCCCTCCGTCCATCAGGGGTGCTTCTGCCCTTGGTAGTGATGTCCTAGACGACAGGAAGTACGAGCTAGCTTTCCTGTCCGAGGCTGCTCCCCATCTCTGTTCCATGCTGCTAGTCCATGAGGGTGACCCAGACGCCTTTGACATCCCGACCCCTCGCACTTACGCTGAGGCGACCTCAGGACCCGGGGCCTCTCAGTGGATAGCTGCCATGGAGCAGGAGATGGCATCTTGGACATCCACCGGCACCTACGTCGACGCAGTTCCCCCGCCTGGGGTGAACGTAGTCGATGGCCGGTGGCTCTTCAAGGTGAAGCGCCCCCCTGGAAATCCGCCTGTGTTCAAGGCGCGCTACATGGCTAGAGGCTTCAGTCAGCATGAGGGGGTGGACTTCTTTCAGACCTTCGCCCCGACCCCGAAGATGACTACTCTTCAGGCGCTGCTACATATAACAGCACAGCGTCACTACGAGTTCCACTCACTTGACTTCTCCACAGCGTTTCTCCAAGGGTGTCTATACGAGCAAGTCTACCTGCGCCATCCGCAAGGCTTCACCAGTACCTTCCCTCTTGGAACCCAGTGGCTCCTCCGGCGCACGGTCTACGGCTTGCGACAGGCGCTCCGTGAGTGGCACGACACTCTGCGTGCTACGCTAGCTGACCTGCAGTTCTTTCCGTCCTCTGCAAACCCCTCGCTCTTCGTTCGTGTTGGCCAGACTCCGTTCTACATCCTTGTCTATGTAGACGACCTGGTCTTTAGGTCCCCCCCGCCCACCAGCGCTTCCGCCATAGGTCCTAGCCGCCTCGTCGCCCTCCTGCCCGTGGTGGCCGCTCCCCTAGTGGCCCTCGTCACCTAGCGCTTAGCTGGCCCCGTCTCTCAGCCGGCCCCGTCGCCTAGCCGGCCCTGTAGCGCAGTCAGCCATGTTGCCTAGCCCGGCCCTGTCGCCTAGCCGACCCCGTCGCCTAGCCGGCCCTGTCGCCTAGCCAGCCCCGTAGCGCAGCCGGCTCCGTCGTCTAGCCGGCACTATCGCCTAGCCGGCCCCGTCGCTTGAGCCGGCCCTGTCACCTAGCTGCCCCCGTCGCCTATTTGGCCCCGTCGCCCAGCCGGCCCCGTCGCCTAGCCGGCCCTGCCACCTAGCCGCCTAGCTGGCCCCGTCACCTCGCCGCTCGCGGCCCCGTTTCCTAGCCGCAACGCGGCCCTGTCTTCCAGCTGCGACGCGCCCCTGTCTCCTAGCCGCCACGCAGCCCCTGTTGACCAGCCGCCCCGCGGCCTCGCCACCCAGCCTCCTCGTGGCCCCGTCCTTCAGCTGCCCCCTCGGCTCCCACCTAGCTTCATTGACCCCTTTTCACCGCACTCCATCGCACTGCATTGCACCCTTCCGTACTGCACCTCACTCTACTGCACTGCACCGCACTCTACTGCACTGCACCGCACCGCACCGCACACCACTGCTTCCTGCCGCACTCTGTTGCTCAGTACAGCCCACTACTGCCTTTTCGGCTGCTCCAGCAACCATGATGGCGGACTCGGTGCTGCGCTTTGACGCGGAGGGTCAGCCGGCTGAGCTCGACACGTGGCTCGTTGACAGACGCCGTCACCTCAGCGGTCTGCAGCAGGATGGCCACTCCCTGGCCGTCCACATCGACGCTACGCTCCCCTGCCCGGACCCCCCTGCTGCTCTACCCGCTGACCCCACGTCTGCTGACCGTGAGTCTGCTGCCGCTGCTGCCCTTGCCCGTGCTATCTGGTTCTCGCATGACGCTGTCGCACACCTCGTGATTAGTCATGCCCTCCCCCTATCTTAGCGCCCTCGCTTTAGGTTGGTCAGGACTGCGCAGGAGTTCGTAAAGGCTGTTGTAGCGCGCTATTCCATCCCGCCCTTTGCCTCCATTGGTCACCTGATCCTGCCCATGCTCTTTTCTGACCTTGCTTCTTTCTCCACTGTCGCTGACCTGGCCGCTCACTTGTGCATGCTAGACGCGACCTGGCGCACTGCCTGCACTGAGGCCCAGCTTCCTGTGTTTCAGCCCCCCATCTGCTCTACCCTCTACCTATTTGCCACCCGCCTCCCTGATCGCCTTGCTTCTGGCCGCGATCACTTTCTTAGTCTCCACCTCGCTGACCTCACCCTCACTGACTTTGTCGACACCCATTCTGCCATAGAGAATCGTCAGCGCTCAATCGCCTAGTCGCTCTATTCATTGCAAATTGCTGAACCGAGAAAGTTGCTACTGTATAAGAAACGCTGGGCTGTTTAGAAGGCCACTTTTAGAATCTCCAATTCCCGGTACTGCCTAATGTTGCCAACTGCAGCACGTCATAGTGCACATTGTTGGAAAAATATGAACGTTTTCCTATTCCTTCCTTCCTTCTCTTTCCCTTTTGCTGCCCTCACTATTTCTCTCCACCCTATTTTTTTGTCCCTACAGTTATTTTTTTGTCGTTCATAGTCATTTGTTCGTAGTCGTTGGTATTTTGTCATAGTCTGTGCTTCGATGCTTACTCTTTGTTATCCATTTTCAGAGCCTTTTATGCTCCGCTATTTCAATACTATTGCTTTGCCATTTTTCTAATCATCACAACTGTCAACATGTATTTCTATATGTTATTGGCTAGATAGGTGCATGCTCATAGAGGGTACAGCACCATAGCACAAAACCTCCCTATATGGCACGATCTAGTTCATTCCGCTATTCTACCATGGTATCACACTAGGTTAGGTCCCCCTCCCCGCCCACGCTTCCGACCCTAGCCCAAGCCCTAGCCTTATACCAAGCCCTAGCCCGCGCCCAGTCACGCCGCGCTAGCCCCGTCACGCCGCGTTGGCCCCTTCCCGACGCGCTGGCCCCGTCCCGCCGCGCCGGCCCCCTCATGCCGCGCCGGCCCCGCTAGACCGCGCCGGCTCCATCACGCCGCGCCGGCCCCGTCCCGCAGCGCCGGCCCCGCTAGACCGCGCCGGCCCCATCAAACCGCGGCAGCCCCGCCACGCCGCACGGGCCTTGTGATGCCGCGCGGGCCCCGTCACGCCGCGCCGGCCCCGTCGCAACACGCCGGCCCCGTCACGCCGTGCCGACCCCGTCACCCCACGCAGCCCCCATCACGACGCTCCGGCGCCGGCCTCGTTACGCTGCGCCGGCCCCGTCCCTCCGCGCCGGCCCTGTCACGCGGCGCCGGCCCCGTCACTCCGCGACGGCCCCGTCACCCTGCGCCGGCACTGCCATACCGTGCCGCGTCGCGCAGACGAGCCCCTACACCACGCCGCCGAGCCGCTGCGCTGCCGAGCCGCTGAGCTGAGCCACCGAGTTGCTGCGCCGCTGAGCCGTGCCGCGCCGCCGCCGATCCGCCGAGCCGCCGAGTAGCCAAGCCGCCGTGCCGCCAAGCCGCCGAGCCGCCGAGTAGCCGAGCCGCCGCATCGCCGAGTTGCCGAGTCGTCGAGCCACCATGCTGTTGTGCCGCCCCGACCTGCCGGCCCTGGTTCCCCCTTCTGTGCCAGCGCTCTCGCCGGCCGTCTCCACCACCGCTCTCTACCACCCTCACCTCCTCCTCCCCTAGCGACAATCAGCTGTTGCAGCTGTGGCGATGGCGAACGCTGTGCTCCGCCTGGACGCTGAGGGTCGGGCGATCGACTTTGAGGCGTGGCTCACCGACCTCCGCCGCTCGCTGAGGGGGCAGCGCCAGGATGGCCAGTCTCTGGCCGTTCACGTCGACGGTAAGATCCCCTGTCCCGACCCGCCTGCTGCCCTCTCTGACGCCCTCACGCCCTCTGAGCAAGAGGCCTTTGCAGCTGATGAGCTCGCTCGCTCCCTCTGGGAGTCGCGTGAAGCAGTTGCGCAGCTAGCTATCAGTCGCGCCCTCCCCCTGTCTGAGCGCCCCCGCTATCAGGCCCTAGAGACTACGCAAGCGAACTTAGATGTTGTTATTGCACGCTATTCCACTCGCTCCTCCGCCTCTGCCGGTCGTCTCCTCCTCCCCCTGCTCTTCCCTGACCTTGCGACTTTTCCTACTGTCGCTGATCTCGCCACTCACCTGCGTGCACTAGAGGCTAGCTTCTGCGCTGCTAGCACGAGGCTCAGCTCCTTGTACTACCTCCCCCCTTGGCACTACCCTCTACTTCCTTGCCATGTGCCTTCCTGACCGCCTAGCCACCGCCCGCGACCACTTCCTTGCCCTCCACCCTGCTGACCTCACCCTCAGTGACTTTGTCACTACCCTGACCGCGATAGAGACCCGCCAGCGCACTATCGCTCAGTCAAGCGGTACTGCGGCGATCCTTATCTTCCAGGGTTGTGCTCCCTCCCAGTGCACTTACTCTGACGTCTTTGCCACTGTTGCTGAGACAGCCCCTGCTGCTGAGACCGCTGCGGCAGCCTCAGCGCAATCTCGTCAGGGTAGGGGATGCCAGGCCCGGGGGGGGCGTGGCAGTGGGAGGGGTGGCGGGGGTGGCGGGGGAGGCGGGGGTGGCGGAGGTGGCGGAGGTGGTGGAGGGGACGGTGGTGCAGAGGAGGGGACCGGGGCTGGTGCCCTAGAGCAGCAGCCTTATCAGCAGCAGTAGCAGCAACAGCTTCAGCTGCAGCAGCAGTCGTCATGGGCGCCCCCGCTGCCGTGGTGGACTGGCGGTGCTGGTGGTGGTGGGGGGCGCAGCTCGGTCTCGCGTGGTGGCTCAACCTGTACAACTTCAGTCCCGCCCCCATCGCGACACCATCTGTGACCGCCCCAGTCACACCGCCGCACGATGCTACCGCCGCCTCGACGACCTCTTTCGTCTCTGCTTCGGCCCCACGGCGGACCCCCCCGACTAGTACAGCTTGGTGTGTCGTTGTGTGCCTATCTGTGAGAGTACGACCCCGTTACACCACTTGGCCTTTTCCCTATTTCCTTTTCCTTCCATTTCTCTTTACCGCATCTCATTTGGTTTCCTATTCTTCCTTTCCCATTAACCTTTGGTTTATCCTGCTATTATAATTATATCACCGACCAGGCATGGAATGTTCTAGACACGCTATCTAGCGTAATCCTGTCGTAATCTCTTAAAGCCAATAGCCTCGCGTGGCTATACGCAGGGTGATTCTATCTTCTAGAAGGGTCTATTCCCTTAGGATAAGATAAACCTGGTTACCTGATGTACTCTGGAAGTATAAAAGCGCCTTGTACTGATCGATAGTGCAACCTTTCCTCGACACATTCGATCCTGTGACACTTGGTAATCAGAGCTTTTCTCACTCGACCGCGCTCAGCTAAGCGGGGATCCTGCCTCGAAAAACCGCCGGGGGCGACTAATTCGACGCCGATTCTGGTAAGCACCAGCTCCGCGATTTTCGAATTACCCCCTCCGTGCGTGTTTTGAACAGGATGGCAACCTTCGACAACGCCGAGGTTACCCAGCAGCTCTTCGCGCGCATCGCAGCCCTTCAGGAGGAAATGCGAGCGGATCGCGAAGCGTGGCGAAACCAGTTCGAGCGAGTAACTCGACTCGCCGGAGCGCAGCACGAGACGACAACGGCGACGACGCAGCAGTCGCAGCAGTTTCTCGAGGCTCCGAAACCGCGCCCACCTGAGCCGTTCGATCCGAGCGATCGAAACTCCGACGCCCGCAGATGGATCGCCGGGATGGAGATCTACTTCGCAGCCGTCGGATGGAGCTCGCCAGTCTGGGACGGTCAACGTTTACGACTCGCGGCGACACTGATGCGAGGGCCGGCACTCGAGTGGATTGGCGGCAACAGTACTTTCATCCACGGTGAAGCCACGTGGCAGCAGTTCCGCGCCGACCTGCTCAAACGATTCGAGCCGATAAATTCAGGTTTCCTTGCCCGCGAAAAAATTCATCGCCATCGACAGTTCGGGAGTGTAGCACAGTACACGCAGCAGATGGAAGAATTTTATAACCGAATTCCCGACCTGACCGAAGGGGAAAAAGTACAATCGTACCTCGCAGGGCTGAAGACCGAAGTCAAACGACAAGTCGCAGCGTCAAACTACGCGAACTACAGTGACGTCGTTTCGGCCGCGGAGCGCTTCGACATGGTCAACGCCGGAACACGACGGACGCACGTCGGCAGTACACGACAGGGCGACCGCTCGGCTCACACCACGTTCGCCGACCCGATGGAAGTCGACAGATTCGAGGGGCGGCCACGTCCGAAAAACACCAACTACACGTGTGATTTTTGCGGGGTGCCGGGCCACCGAATCTTCGACTGCAACAAAATGAAGGCCGCACGCGCAGAGTATCGGGCACGCAACAGTGGCGGAAATCTTTCGGCCAATCAGAAGACAAAAAACGGGAGTCGCCAGTGATTGCGGATCTAGCTGGCGAAAATAAAAAGATCCGGAAACGGCCGCGGGATTCCGAGAAAATCAACTTCGACGAAGCTGATTCGACGCGAGCAGGAGGAAATGATGGGGGAAAATCTCCACCCCACGACCAGTCTTCGCCAGGGAAAATCGCCGAGGAAAAATACGACTCCGCGAAAAAAGACTCTGCCGAGACAGGGAAACTCCTTGAAGACCCAAGAAATTATAAGAATTCGTTAAAGTTATCTTATAAAGATGCTTTAATGAAAACTTATGATGTTCGAGGGGCTAGAGCCTTGGAGAAATTTCGGGAGGGACTCCAAAAGAAGCAGACAGCTGTGGAGATTATACCGGTACCGGACAACTTGGGGACCAAATTAAGGAGTGTGGAAAGAAGCCGACCTTTCCACGGAGTCAACGTCCTCTCCCGACACCAGCCCACAACGACTACCCGTTCCCCAGGGAAGACGTCGGTGGAGCTGAAGTAGCTCAAGAGGAAGCTGGGGGTCTACAAGAAGCTGCACAAACCCCGAACTCCTTCTACGGATGCATCCAGTTCTTCGGCATCAGTGACGCGTACAGTCGTCAAGGAAACTCCGGGCCCTGGAGAAGAGCCGTTCTCCAAGCAGCCTCGGCCAGCTGCCAGCTCAGGAGTAGACAGCAACACCAAGGTGTGTACGGAATATTGGGATGTACCCTATGACCCAATCAATGAAACTATCTTTGGGTACTCCGAGCAACGACTGCCCCTCGTGCTCGAGGTCATCTGCAAAGGACGACGCCTCCAAGCACTCGTGGACAGCGGAGCGTCACACACCGTCTGCGACAAGGCAATGATCGACCGACTCCGGGAAGAGTACAAGCCTTCAGGATTCTCTGCAACGATGGTGGACGGCAGCAAGTTACCAGTACACGGCGAAGCAGTGCTACATCTACAAATTGGACCACTGCGCTGGAGACCTGCACTCCCCATCACCAACATCAAAGGGCTTGACTTGATCTTCGGGCGAGACTTCCTGAAAAGATTCAACCCCGAGATCAACTGGGTGAACCGCACCGCAAGCATCTACAACAATGGACGGAGAGTACAGCTACCCAACTGGGACGACACTGGAGATATCCCAGTGGAGACACTCGCACGATTCGAGAAGGACGTGAAGCGGACCGACACCGGGTTCCTGGCGATAGCAACAGAGGTGGAGAATGACGGAGAGAAAGCCTCGGAAACTCCAGAAAAAATCAAGGAATTACTGAAGGAGTTCCAAGACATTCTTCCTGACGATCTTCCGGACGAGCTACCGCCATACCGAACGCATCAACACGAGATCGTGGAGGAACCGGGTTCGAAGCCGACCTTCCGAGCACCATATCGACTCAGCCCTACAGAGCTGACCGACATGAAGAAGCAGATCGAGTATCTCCTAGCTAAAGGACTCATCCGACCATCCACTTCGCCGTACGGTGCCCCAGTACTCTTCACACCGAAACCGGACGGAAGCCTGCGCATGTGCATCGACTACCGAGCTTTTAACAAGCAGACCATCAAGAATAAATATCCGATACCGCGAATCGATGACCTGCTTGACCAGCTTCGGGGAGCTACGGTATTTTCCAAACTGGATCTGCGGTCCGGATACTGGCAGATACGGATGGCGGACAACTCTATCCACAAAACTGCTTTCCGAACTCGGTACGGATCGTACGAGTATTTGGTCATGCCGTTCGGACTCACCAACGCGCCGGCAACGTTCCAAGCCGAAATGAACCACATTCTACGACCACTTCTGGACGAATGCGTGGTGGTGTACCTGGACGACATCCTCATCTACTCGCGCGACATGAAGCAGCACGTCGAACACCTGCGACGCGTCTTCGAAATTCTTCGACGAGAACGATTCTACGTCAAACTGTCCAAGAGCGAATTCGCCCTGGAGAAAGTCCAATTTCTAGGACACTTGGTGAGCGCTCAAGGAGTTCACGTCGACCCCAAGAAAGTCGAAGCCGTACGTACGTGGAAGACACCCGAGAACGTGAAGGAGTTGCAGCAGTTCCTAGGCTTCGCTAATTACTATAACAGGTTCGTGCCACAGTATGCGAAACTCGCGGCACCACTCACGAATCTGTTGAAGAAGAACACGCCCTACAAATGGGAGACGAAGCACCAGGAAGCCGTGGAGCAGCTGAAACAAGCACTGACATCCGCACCGGTACTCACCTTGCCAGATCCCGAACGCGACTACGTAATCGAAGCTGACGCCAGCGACCAGGCAGTGGGAGCAGTCTTGATGCAAGACCAGGGGAATGGACTGCAACCAATTGCCTACCTCAGCAAGAAACTGCACGGGGCAGAACTCAACTACCCGATACACGACAAAGAGGCCCTTGCCATTGTCATCGCCTTCAAAGCGTGGAGATGCTATCTCGAAGGACGAAGAACGACCGTCTACACCGACCACTGCAGCCTGAAATATTTGAAGACACAACCCAACCTTTCCAGGCGGCAGGTCCGGTGGATCGACTTCCTCGAGACACACTTCCACTACGACATCGTGTACAAGCCCGGCCACAAGAACAAAGCAGACGCGCTCAGCCGGCCTGCACACGTTGCCGCGATTCAGGTCGAAGGGATGAATCCACTACTCAAGGGACTCTTCACCCACGGGTACGCCATCGACCCCGAATTTCCTTGGCAGAAAAGCGACATCTGCTACAGTGGGACAGTGACATCGCGTACCGGAAAGGATCAACAAAAATCTGGGTACCCAATTACCCTCCTTTGCGCCAGTTACTACTCGAAGAATATCACGACGTCCTGTACGCCGGACACTTCGGTAGCAACAAGACGATCACCGGTATCGCCAAACACTACTACTGGCCCCATATGGCAGACGACGTCCAGAAATTCGTCACCTCGTGTGATACATGTCAGCGGATGAAGAGCAGCAAGCAGAAAAAGGCGGGACTACTGCAGCCTCTTCCTGTCCCAGAACAACCATGGCAAGTGGTTAGCCTGGACTTCATCACCGGGTTACCACCTACTTCCAGCGGTCATGACGCCATCCTTGTCGTCATTGACAAGTTCTCCAAAATGGGACACTTCATCCCGACACACACGACGGCACGCACCGAGGAGACAGCACAACTCTTCGTTCGTCACATCATCTCACAGCATGGCATCCCAACTACACTCATCTCCGACCGAGACCCTAAGTTCACTAGCAAGTTCTGGAAGGAACTTATGTCTCTGCTCGGCACCAAACTCGCCATGTCATCCGCATACCATCCGCAGACAGACGGACAGACCGAGCGCCTCAACCAAATTGTTGAGCAACTCCTCCGAGCAGCCTGCAAGGACGACATCTCCAAATGGGACTTGCACCTACCCGTCCTGGAGTTTGCCTACAACAACGCTACACACGCCGCTACGGGACAGACGCCGTTCTTCCTCTGCTACGGACGCCACCCACTCACACCACAAAAACTGACAGTATCAGCTACAGTCCAACCAGCACATGATTTCATCACAACCATGCATCAACTTTGGGATCGGACCCATAAGCGCCTCCTTGACATTCAACAGCAACAGAAGCGCCAGGCCGATCGCCATCGCAACGACCACACCATTTCCGTGGGAGACCAGGTGCTCCTCGACACCCGCAACCTGGACATCAGCCATCTTCCATCTAAACTTCGACCTCGCTTCTGCGGGCCTTTTCTCGTTGAAGCACAGGTCACTCCTGTTACCTTCCGCTTACGCCTGCCAGCTACCTGGAAGATTCACAACGCCTTCCACGTCCAACTCCTGAAGCCCTATCGGGACCCGAACACAATCTTCGTCGGACGCCAGCCGCCGCCGCCACCGCCCGTCCTCGTCCAGAATGAACCCGAGTACAAGGTCGAGTCCGTGCTCGCACATCGTCGTCGTCGGAATGGCACCGTGGAGCTTCTCATCCGTTGGAAGGGTTATGATCCTTCTGAGGACAGCTGGGTCTCTGAGTCCGACATGGGTAACGCCCGTCGTCCTCTGCATGACTACCTTGTCAAGCAGGGTGTTACTTCTACCACCCAGCTTTGAGGGGGGGAAGTGTGAGAGTACGACCCCGTTACACCACTTGGCCTTTTCCCTATTTCCTTTTCCTTCCATTTCTCTTTACCGCATCTCATTTGGTTTCCTATTCTTCCTTTCCCATTAACCTTTGGTTTATCCTGCTATTATAATTATATCACCGACCAGGCATGGAATGTTCTAGACACGCTATCTAGCGTAATCCTGTCGTAATCTCTTAAAGCCAATAGCCTCGCGTGGCTATACGCAGGGTGATTCTATCTTCTAGAAGGGTCTATTCCCTTAGGATAAGATAAACCTGGTTACCTGATGTACTCTGGAAGTATAAAAGCGCCTTGTACTGATCGATAGTGCAACCTTTCCTCGACACATTCGATCCTGTGACACTATCTTTGAGATGGACATGGATCAGATTAGGTCTGCTTTGTATGCCATCGATGCTAATGAATCTAGTGTGACTGGACCCTATGACCTGGAATTGCCTAGTGTAGGTGTGTCCCCTGTGTGTGGTCTAGGTTCCCCTACTGCGTCACTCGTAGGACCCCCTGCCTTGTTGAGCCTATGCTACACGCTAGCCCCTCTGCTGGAGGACGCTACTGCTTTGCTCTCCTTCATGCTCGACTCTCGAGCGTCTACCCGCTTCTTCCGCGACCACATTGCACTCACGCCTCTGGCCGCCCCTGCCGCTGTCGCGCTTGCTGACTTCTCCTCAAGTCCGGTATTTGCCCGTAGCTCCACCACCCTTCCCTATCCGGCGGTCCCCTTGGGTTCCCTTACAGGCCTGCATATCCCCTTGTCTCCAGGAACCTACTTGGTGTCGGCTGTCTTCAGGTCCTCGGCGTCACCACTACGTTCCCGGGACACGAGCGGTACACGGTCTGTACCAAGGCCGCAACTGGTGCTCCTCTAACCACGTTACCCTGGGACCCTATGTCTGGCCTGTTTACACTTGACACTTCATCCCCCCCAGTGAGGGCTTCCCCCCAGGTGCCTGCGTCGATCCACGTCGCTGCGGCTTGCTCGTGTCGGTCGCTCACTCAGCCGTCGCAATTGTGGCACCACCGCCTAGGTCACCCCGCACTCCCGCGTCTGCGTCACATGTCTCATCATGGTCTTGTCTTCGGTCTCCCTGCGTCGCTCCCTGCCCTTCCTCCCTCGCCTGCACCGCCGTGCACGCCTTGTGTCGAGGGTTGGCTGCGCCGTGCTCCTCACTCCTCCTCGCTTCCCCCTACCAGTGCGCCACTTCAGACCCTGCACGTGGACGTCTGGGGTCGAGCCCCCGTCCCTGGGCCGTGTCGCGAGGGCTATTGACTAGTGCTTGTTGACGACTACACACGCTACACCATGGTGTTTCCCCTGGAGCAGAAGGCCGACGTGCCTTACGTTCTTATCCCGTGGGTCGTAGCTTCGCAAGTCTCCCTGTGTTGCGTTTCCACTCTGACCGTGGCGGCGAGTTCGCCTCCGGTCGGCTTGGCTAGTTCTGTCGTGGGGAGGGCATCACCCAGTCGTACACCCTGCCGGACTCCCCACAGAAGAATGGGTTTCCTGAGCGACGCATCGGTTTGGTCATGGAGCTGGCTCGTACCTCCATGATCCATGCCAGTGCACCCCATTTTCTATGGCCGTTCGCTATTTGCTACGCCGCTCACCAGCTTAACCTGTGGCCGCAGCGGCCGCAGGTTTCGCCGACCCTTCTCTGCACCGGGTTCCTTGGTGACGCGTCTGCTTTCCACGTCTGGAGCTGCCTTGCTCACGTTCGTGCCTCTGGCACCGACAAGCTCACTGCCCGCCCTGTCCCTTGTGCCTTCCTTGGCTTCCCCCTCGAAGCGTCTGACTGGCACTTTTACCACCCGCCGTCTCACCTCGTCTTTCACTCGCATGATGTCACTTTTGATGAGTCTATCTCACTCTACCACCGCTCTCCCCACCGAGGTCTCTCGGTTTCCCCGCCCCTGTTTCTGGTTCCCACTCCCCCGGTAGCCCCTGCTCCTCTCCCTCCCAGTCCTGCCCCGTCTGGTGTGTCTCACGTCACTCCCTCCCATCGGTTGTCCCGGTCGAGGAGTTAGCTGACTCTAGTGACCCTACGGCATCGTTCTCGTCAACTGTCTCCGCCCCGATGTCTCCTCCTCTGCCGTCCCCGCAGCAGCATCCGTCGCTATAGTCGCAGCCGCAGCAGCAGCTGCAGCCGCCCCCGCCGCAGCAGCAGCCGCCGTAGGGGTCCGCCAGCTCTGGGGGTGCGGGCGTTGAGCACTTTGCTAGTCCTGGGGTTACTGTTGTGGCTTGTCCCGGAGGTCCTGGGGGTGGCACCGGTGCTGGGGAGGGTACTCGTTCTAGGAGTGCTGGTTCTGGGGGTGGTAGTCCTGGGGTTATTGCCGTGGCTTGTTCCGGTGGTCCTCGGTGTGGCACCGATTCTGGAGAGGGTTCTCGTTCTGGGGGTGTGGGCGTGGAGAGTCCTGGAGGCAGCCGTGGTGAAACTAGAGGTTTTGGTGTCGGCTTGGAGAAGCAGCAATAGCAGCAGTCGCTGACGGTGTCCGCCCTTCGCCTCCTCGGTCTTCCCTCCCCTGACCACCCACCTGCGCCTCCCCCGCAGCCGCCTCCCCTGCCTGTTGATGGTCCTGTGCTTCCGCTGCCAGACTCGTCTCCAGCTCGTTTCCCCCCTAGTTCTCCTCCTGTGTCTCTTGTGTCTCCTGAACCGACGCCTCCGTCCCACTTCTGGTCTTGCCGTCCCTCTCGTGCTCTCATCCCACGCGTCTCATCCTCCCTGCGTGTCTCGTCCTCCCCTCCTCTTGTCGCCTCCTCCGTTGTCGATTGTTGTTGCTCCGTCTCCTCCGTGTGACTACCTTCGTGCCGCTAGTCCTCTTGTCTCGACTCCTTGCCTCCGTCGTTACTGGCCCGTCTGTTCCTGTCTCGAGTCTTGACGATCTTGTCGCTGCCGTTGCTGACTTTGCCTCTACCCACCGCCTTGACTACGCCACCGCTCTGGTCTATGACCTTGCCCGTCCTCGGTCCGTCGGGGGTGCTCCTGCCCTCGGCAGTGATGTTCTGGGGATTTGGCAGTATGAGCTTGCTTTCCTGTCCGAGGCCGCGCCTCATGTCTACCCCATGCTGCTAGTCCTTGAGGATGACCCTCACGCCTTTGACATCCCAACCCCTCGCACTTACGCTGAGGCTACCTCAGGACCCTGGGCCTCTCACTGGATAGCTGCCATGGATGCGGAGATGGCATCTTGGAGATCCACCGGCACCTACGTCGACGCAGTTTCCCCACCTGGGGTGAACGTAGTCGATAGCCAGTGGCTGTTCAAGGTGAAGCTCCCCCATGGAGAGCTGCCAGTGTTCAAGGCGCGCTACGTGGCTAGAGGCTTCACTCACCACGAGGGTGTTGACTTCTTTCAAAACTTCGCCGCGACCCCAAAGATGACCACTCTTTGGGCGTTGCTACACGTAGCAGCTCAGCGTGACACAAGCTGCACTCTCTGGACTTCTCCACAACGTTTTTCCAGGGCAGTCGGCACGAGCAGGTCTACCTGTGCCGTCCGCCGGGGTTCACTCGCACCTTCGCCTCTGGGATCGAGTGGCTCCTCCGGCGCCCAGTTTACGGCCTGCGGCAGGTGCCCCGTAAGTGGCACCACATGCTATGTGTTACGCTAGTTGACTTATAGTTCTTCCCGTTGTCTGCAGACCCTTCACTCTTTGTCCATTCAGGACAGACCACGTTCTACATCCTTATTTACATAGACAGCCTGGTCCTTGCTACTGCAGAGAAGACGCTCTGGCCTCGGTGAAGGCTGAGCTGCTGAGGAGACACACCTGTACTGACCTAGGAGAGCTGTGCCGCAACCTTGGCCTGCAGATCTTTAGGGATAGAGCAGCGCGCACCATCACTCTGACACAGTCACACTTGGTGCGTCAGGTCCTTCAGAGGTTCGGTCTTCAGTTCTCCTCCGCGCAGCCCACACCTCTGCCACTAGATCACAGGATCTTGGCTCCAGTCCCTGAGGAGTCGGTTTAGCCTAGTGGTCCGTATGTAGAGCTGGTGGGTTGCCTCATGTACCTGATGACTTGCACTCGTCCAGATCTCGCATACCCTCTCAGCATCCTAGCTCGCTTCGTGGCGACAGGCAGACACCGACCACAGCACTGGTCGGCAGCTAAGAGGGTTTTGCGTTATGTAGCAAGTACCTCGGGCATGGGGCTAGTGCTAGGAGGACGCAGGCCAGTGGTCCTGACAAGGCACACAGACGCTTTGTGGGCCGACGACGCTGAGACGCTCAGGTCCTCTTAGGGCTACTGCTTTAGCCTTGGTGCAGGCAATGTCTCTTGGAGGTCCACCTGCTCGTCATCTGTTGCACAGTCTAGTTTTACGCTGAGTTTTACGCTTTTGCCATGGCGGCACAGGAGCTCCGCTGGCTGACGTTTCGCAAGGGCGACACATTCCAGTCCGTCAGGCTGCCCGCATCACCGGCCTGCTGGCATCCATGGCGCTCGCACTCGGCACAGTCGCACGCGCATTTTCCCACAATCTTCTATCTCAGGTATCTTAGTGTCACTTCTGGGGAGCGTCCATTCTCTCGACACTAGATTATATTGACGAGTTGCGCTTCTGGCTCACCCAGTTCGACGTCTTCAATGGCTCCCGCTTCCACATTCCTCATCGTTACGATGTCGTGATGTATGTGGATGCTAATGATAGCGCATGGGGCGCGTGCTTCTTAGCGTTAGATGGCCGGGCTGGTTCACACGCCTCACCACTCCCACAGGCCCTTGTGTCTTCGTCCAGTACGCTTCATGAACTCTCGGGCATCCTTTGGGCATTGTCGACCTTCCTTGATGAGTTCCGTCGCTTTCACGTCTTGCTCTACAGTGACAGTCAAGTGGTCTATTACATTATGAAGAAAGAAGTCTCCTGTCGTCTCGAGCTGACTCTTCTATGTCGAGCCATCATCCACCTTTGTGTGAGACACCAAATTCGGCTAACTGTCCTGTGGATTCCGCGCGCCCTCAATACCAAAGAAGACGCGCTCTCCAAGTTGGATCTTCTCGATGATTACTCTCTCGCGCAACCTTGGTTCCTTTTGCTGGACAGGCATTGGGGTCCTCACACTCTTGATTTGTTCGCTTCTTGTGCAAATGCGCAGGTGGTTCGCTTTTGCTCGCTCGAGCTCTCTCGCGCCGCGGTCATGCAGGATGCATTTTTTCTTCGCTGGTCAGGCAAAAACTGCTACGCATTCCGTCCGCCTCCCCTTATTCCCGCCGTCCTTGCCCATGCGCGCCGCTCATGCCCTCGCTGACCCTTGTGATTCCACATTGGCCTAGCACTTTTTGGTGGCCCTTGTTATGCCCAAGCGGCACCTCTTGGGGCCCCGTTGTAGCCGCCACCAGTCGCCTTGATTCTAGCTCTAGTTGTTTGCGCGTTGGTAGCGACCACCACGCCTTTAGTGGCGCAGGTCTTCCAAACTCTTTAATGTATGCGCTTCGCTTGGTATTTTACTAATACATCGCGCTGTTTTGCTGCGCAGATTCGTACCTCGGCAAATAATTTTGGACCTCGATGCTTACGACCGATCTTCGTACGCAGTCTACTCTTCATACCTATGAGCCCTATTTGCGCCAATATCGGGCTTTTGTACCAGACACTCGCTTCCCTTTCTCCTTGCCAGCGATCTGATAGCGGCCCTGTTTCTGTTGCACTCAATACTTGGCGGCGCTACAATTTCCGCTGGCATGTTCCGCCATATGACGCACCCCTTGGCTGATCGGCCGTCCTTCTCCTATTCGCTGTCCATTGTCCTCCCAGGTAGAGAAGTATGCACAACGCCACTGCGGCAGGCCCGCCTGAGCCAAAGAGCCCATACCGCTCGAGAAGATATACGAGATATGCGATATCGATTTTGCATGGTTTGATCCTGCAACATTCTAGTGGGGGCTCATCCCTCTTCTTATGTTCGCAACCTTCCTGCATATCTCCGATCTTATTACCCTCCAATGGCACCAGATCGAGTTTTATCGGGACTGCATGTGGCTGTTCATTCCTCGCTCTAAGACCGACCAGGCAGGCATCGTTTCCCGGGTTCCTGTGGCTGCCTCCTCTGCTCGCCACTGCCCCGTCTTGCATATCCAGCAACTCATGTTCCTCGCCGGGTACTCCGCTCAGTCCCTCGGCCCCCTTATCCGCGTGTTTCATTCGGGCTCCCGAGCTTCTCCTTCCGATCGCTCTCCTTAGTACGCCACCGTTCAGAGCTGGTGTCGGGATGCCTTCTCCCGAGTCAGCCTCAATCCCGATGTCCTTGGCACACACTCGTTTCTCAAGTCAGCCGCCACTGCTGCTGTTGATGTTGGCGTGCCTGATCGGTTCTTCAAGGCCTTCGGAAGCTGGCGCAGCGACACAGCGAAGGAGCGTTATGTTACTCAGCTCGATCGCGAGCTTGTTGCTGCCTCATGCACCATTCAGGATCCACTTTGCTCTAGTCCGACCGCTCGATACGCAGCCACGCTCGAGCGCCGTCATCGCCAACCCTCTGCGTGATGTCTCTTTTGACCTATGACAACTGCACTGCACACTACTCTGAAATTCATGTCACAATATGAACAATTTTTTAGTAACAAAAAATTTACAGATTGCGATTTGATTTGAAGAAGAGTTTGCTGTAAAGAATACAAGCTCCTTCATATTCTCGCAGGTCCGAGGGACCTGCCACCTAGTCTCATTTGCATTTTCTATTCTCTGATTGCTCCCAACCCCCACTCTCGCTTTCCCTCTTGAGGCCTACTTGTTTTGCTTAGTCCTTTAGGCCATCCATGTACATCGTAATCTGAGTGTGCTGTATCATTGAGATTTGAAATGATATAACGACTGCACTACACACTCCTCTGAAAGTCGTGCAACAATTAGTAGGTCCTTGAGTGGATATAGTGCTTGATAGCACAGCGGAAGTTCTATTTGAACCCTTGTATTGATATGTGAAAAACAAGTGATTGATTATACAGTAGCAAGGGGATACAAGGGAATATGAAGAGTCTATCTAACTATGCACTTCGAGGGGTACACTCCGTTTACGACCCGATAAGCACGACTCGGGTAACCACCCGTATTGAAATTGTAAGGAATTACTGTTAGGATTAAGGACGGAGTCTAGGTGAACTTAGGAGCTAGAATTACTCAAAATATAAATCCGAAATTCTGGACAGAAAAGTCGTCTTCACAAGAAACGACGTCGACGAAAACCTAGCCGTTGGAATGTCGCGAAACTTGGATATGTTGTAGCTCTTTATCTCAGCTACCGTTCCCAATTTGAATCATGTTGATTGATGAAGTATTCGCGACGCTATGGCTTTCGACGCATTAGGGGGTAAGCTGTAGGAGGAGAACTTAACTCAATCTCAAGAGTTCAATCAAAGTTCAAGAATCTCACAAGGAATTTAGAAGGAGCAAGAGAAAGGTTGGGATAGAAGAGAGGGATGAGAGGGAAGGTCCCAAGAGAGTCCCCAACCAAGGAAACCCCATAAGCACAAAGATTCCCTCCCTATAGGAACCCCAACTTTGACATTTGTCCCTTCCCAACCAATCCATCCAAGTTGGCCACCCTTGCCAACCTAGCTTGGTTGTTCCCAACCAATTTGCAGCTGTTACAGTAGAGTGACGAATTTCCCCAACCCCAAAGGTCCCAACTCCATATAAAGTCACCCCACAACTTCACTTTGTAACCGCCGCAATTGTAACGCAAGCTCATGAACTTTGAATCTTCATAGCTTTCGCGTTCTTGCTCCGATTGAAGGGATTCTCGTTGCGTCGGAAAGATCTTCTCAAGATCTATCATCACAAAAAACCTGCTCAAACAAAATAACACAAAACACATTCCCAAACTCCAGAACACATCACACACAAATTCTTGCACACGTTCAAACCACACATGCAAGTTGAAAAAATATGGGATGGGAGGCAGACAGAATGTGATAGCATATGATGACATCACACAACAATCTCCCCCTCTGGCTGCCAACCATCATCCACCATACCAACATCTCAAGCATGCATACTCAATGCACACTCATCCCAGCAAGCTTCATGCCCTTCCAATGATCCGCCTCCGCCAGACGCTTGGTGAAAATATCTGCTGCCTGCTGATGGGTCTTCACTATCTCCAGCCGCACCTCCTTATCAAGGAGTCTCCTCACCCAATGCCACTTAGGCCTTATGTGTTTTGTCAGCCCATGCAGACAAGCATTCTTGGCGAGCTTCACAGCGGACTCATTGTCACAAAACACAACTGTCGGCTTCTCCTGACCAACTCCCAACTCCTCCAACAAACGCCTTAGCCACACTACTTCCTTGGCCCCATGGTGTAAGGCCATGTACTCAGTCTCACATGAGGACAATCCCACCTCATTCTGCTTCTTGCTGCGCCAGCTCACAGCACCACCTCCTAGCAAGCACACATAACCCCCAATGCTGGTGCCATCCGCTTTCACTGAGTTGAAGCTAGCGTCAGTATAGCAACTCAAGAGCATCTCACCACTCTTCACATCTGCAGCACCTCTCTGCAACCGCTGCCTCACTCCACTGTACTCCAATCCCACTGATGCCGTAGCACTCACATAGCGGACCAACCTCTTGGCCGCTTCCAGCTGCTCATGACTAGGGCGTGAGACCACACTAGCCAACCGTGATGTAGAAAATGCAATGTCAGGCCGTGTATGATTTGCAGCATAATTCAGCGACCCAACCATCGAATGAAACAGCTTCCTGTCACTCTCACCCACTACCTCCTCATCAGCACATGGCTCCACAGTAAACCCTGAAGGTAGTGGTGTTGCTGGCTTTCCCCCATCTTGCAGCCCATACTTCTCAGCCAGCCCCTCACAGTACTTCCTCTGGTGCAACCTCAGCACACCCTTCTCCACATCTCTCTCCACATGCATCCCCAAGTAGTACTTCACCTCACCCATCTTGGAACACTTGAACTGCATCTCTAGCATCTGCTCTGCGCTGTCCAGCAAAGCAGTTGATGCAGAAAAGAGAAGGATATCATCCACGTACACCAAGAGCATGAGGATTTCATCCTTCTCCTGCAGCAGGAACAGGCTGGGGTCACACTCACTCTTCTTGAAACCCCCAGCCAGCAGCGCCTCCTCCAACTTGTGATACCATGCACGAGGCGCCTGCTTAAGGCCATAGATGGCCTTCTTCAGCCTGCAGACCCTGCCGCTCCCATCATCCAGCCCCTCTGGCTGCTTCATATACACCTCCTCCAGAATGATCCCATTCAGAAAGGCAGTCACAATGTCCATCTGCCGTATCTTCCATCCCAGGAGTGCAGCTATCGCCAACAGCACCCTCAGTGTTGTTCCTTTCCCCACAGGAGCAAACACCTCATCATAGTCCTTCCCTTTTGTCTGCTGAAACCCCCTTGCCACAAGCCTAGACTTGTATCGGGTCAGCTCCCCTTCAGGTCCATACTTGTGCCTGTAGATCATCTTGGAAGTGATTGCCTTCTTTCCAGGAGGCAAGTCACACAGGTCCCATGTCTCGTTCTCAATCAGGGACCCAAACTCCTCATCCTCACTCGCCTTCCACTTCTCCCCATTTGGTCCATTCAAGGCCTCTTCTCGAGTCTTGGGCTCAGGGATTGGTGCCCAGTAGCAGTGAGCGATCTCATCTTCCTCAATCTGCTCAACCACACTCCCAGCCTGCACCACATTCGGCTTGCCTCTTCCCCCATAGGTCAGCCTCACTGGAGGGCGCACATCCCTCCTAGGACGCTCAGGCGGGTGTGGAACTCGAGGTGGAGACTCATGCTGCTGCTGCTGCTGCTCTACTTCAGCTGCTCCCCCTTCCTCAGTCACCCCAGACATCTCCTCCTCTGACACTGCAACCTCTACCTGTCTTGAAGGCTGCTGCAACTCATCTGCCTCCACAATGAGTGGTGTAGATGGAAGCTTCTGTTGCTGCTGCTTCCATTCCTTATAGTACAGGGACTCAAGAAACTTCACATCCCTTGACACTGTCAGCTTCTGGGTGGTCAGGTCCCATAGCAGCCACCCCTTGTGATCCTTTGCAATCCCCAAGTGCACACCCCATCTTCCAGAAGCCTCCAACTTCCCCCTTTTCTCCTTGGGCACATGAAACACCACCATGCACCCAAATGCCCTCAGCATGTTCACCGCTGGAGCACTCCCATACCACTTGGCATATGGGATCCACTCCTTATCTCCAACTGTAGCCAGCACCCTATTCTTCACAAGGGCGACCTGCCTCAGTGCAGACACCCAAAACGGATCAGGCAGCCCTGCACGCCCAAGGAGAGTGCGTGCCCCCTCCTGCAGGGTCCTGTTGAACCTCTCAGCCACGCCATTCTGCTGCGGGTTGTAGGGCACTGTCAGTTGATGTTGGATCCCCTTCCTCTTCAACTCCCCCTCAAAATCAGCTCCAATGAACTCCCCACCATTGTCACTACGGATCACCTTCACCTTGTGTCCGCATTCCCTCTGAGCTCTCGGCATCCACTCCTTAAGGACAGCCGCTGCCACCTCCCCCTTGCTGTTCAAAGGGTAAACCCACACTGCTCGAGTGTGGTCATCCACAATTGTCAAGAAATAGCGGCTGCCTGAGAGGGAAGGGGCTCTTGTGGGCCCCACCACATCCATGTGCACAAGTGCAAGTGGGGTCTTGGCTGGTCCTGTAGTGCTGTTGAAGGGGAACTTGGAGAACTTGGTCTCCAAGCATGTAGGGCAGCTCCCAATCTCCTTCACTCCCCCTTTCACCTCCAAGCCTTTCAGGCTCCCATCCTTTACCAACTTCTGTAGCATAGGGAAGTTCACATGACACAGCCTCTCATGCCATGTCTCCCAATCGGCCTCTCCACTCTTTGATGAAGCCTTAGCCCATGCCGCACTCGCATCCACACCAGCAAGCACCTCACCATGTCTCTGCTGCTGCTGCACTTTCTTGACTGCTTCCAGGACCCCATCAGTTGGTGCAGTTGCATCTCCTCCTGCTGTTGCCTTTGCCGCTGCTGCCGTTGCTGCTGTTGGAGTCTTCCCATTCCATGGGATGATGGGCAGCTGCCACAGGTCCTTGATGCAACTGGTCTCCTCTTCCAGACTCCATAGCACCTTCTTCCCAAGCTTAGCACGGCAGCTGGTTGGTCCAAAGGTCACTTCGGCCTTGCTCTTCTGCAGTCGTCGCACAGAGAGAAGGTTAGCAGACAAGCCTTTAACCAGCAGAACATTCCCAAGCCCCACAAGCTCCCCATTAGCTCCCTTAACCTTGGCATTTCCAACACCAATGACAGGGAGCAAAGCACCTGACGCTGCTGCCACATACTTGATCTTCCCAGGGGGTTTTACCTCATCAAGCAAATCTGCCCGTGGGGTCATGTGACTGGTGCAACCCGAATCAATCACCCAGTGCGTGAGAGGGTGCATCACAACCTTTCCCACAGATCCCACATCACCCTCATGCCCATGCACATCCTCAACCATAACAAACAAACCAGGATAGGCATTACCTTGTGCACCTTCACCTTGTGCACCTGAGCCTTGCACAGCGCCACCTTGTGCGCGTTCACCACTGGGCGGCTTCATGCCTGGAGGTGCCCATCCCTCCAGCCTGCTGAAGCACTTGAACCAAGGATGCCCAACCTTCTTGCAGTACCAGCACGTGCCCTCCATTCTGGTACTCCCCCTGCCACTAGAGCTCCCATGCCCCTCATTATAGTCACCTCGGCCTCTACCTCTGCCAAAGCTCCTCCCACGGCCTCGGCCTTTCCAACCCCCTCTTCCTCTGCCGCGCCCTGCAGCTCCATACCCCTCAGCAGTCTTAGTGGCAGCACCGCCTCCCACATGGCGTCTGCGGAAGTCCTCCTGCAGAATCTGCTGCCTTAGCCACTCAGGTGTCCATTGATCTTGCTGAGAGTTGAGGGTGGGGATGAGGTTATCCCACGAGTTGTCCAACACCGAGATGATCTTGGTGCACTGCTGCAGCTGAGATACACTGCTGCCCGCTGCTGCCATCCTTGCATAGGTGTCCTTGATCTTGTCAAGGACCGGCTTCACATCGTCCCCTGGTCGCATGGAGATGGCAGCAAGTTCCTTCTCGAGCACGATCACCATCAGGAGAGTGTTGGGCTGAATCACATCGCGTAGTAGTTTCCACGCCCTTGGACCCGAATCATCCGCTTCCACAAGATCCTTGATGTGCTCGAACATCTCCTTGTTGACCGATTGAAGGATGAGGTCGAAAAGCACCGTGCTTTTCTCAATCCACCGTTCACGTGCTTCGCCTTCTTCCGGCATCTTCTCTTCCCCAACAGCAATCTTCAGTAGCTTGTAGCGTTTGAAGGCACTTCTCATCCGTCCGCTCCATTCCTCATAGTTGGAGCCATCCAAAGCTTCAACTTTTGATGGCGGCGGTTCACTTGTCTTCTCAGCTACAGCTCCTCTTCCATTAGCATCTCCTCCTCTCTCATTCATCTTCTCCTTGAGAAATGACGAATTTCAGCCCCCCTTTGCTGTCCACACTCAGCTCCCTCGATATTTTCACAAGTGTCGGCGTCCACGAAATTTCGGCAGAGTTTCCCTTAGCGGAAGACACATCCAACCTTTAGAACACCACTTAGGCACACCCACAGGCCATGGTGGGTCTAGAAGGGTCTTCACACTTCTGTAGACTCCTCTCAACGTCCTTAATACAGCTCTGATACCACTTGTTAGGATTAAGGACGGAGTCTAGGTGAACTTAGGAGCTAGAATTACTCAAAATATAAATCCGAAATTCTGGACAGAAAAGTCGTCTTCACAAGAAACGACGTCGACGAAAACCTAGCCGTTGGAATGTCGCGAAACTTGGATATGTTGTAGCTCTTTATCTCAGCTACCGTTCCCAATTTGAATCATGTTGATTGATGAAGTATTCGCGACGCTATGGCTTTCGACGCATTAGGGGGTAAGCTGTAGGAGGAGAACTTAACTCAATCTCAAGAGTTCAATCAAAGTTCAAGAATCTCACAAGGAATTTAGAAGGAGCAAGAGAAAGGTTGGGATAGAAGAGAGGGATGAGAGGGAAGGTCCCAAGAGAGTCCCCAACCAAGGAAACCCCATAAGCACAAAGATTCCCTCCCTATAGGAACCCCAACTTTGACATTTGTCCCTTCCCAACCAATCCATCCAAGTTGGCCACCCTTGCCAACCTAGCTTGGTTGTTCCCAACCAATTTGCAGCTGTTACAGTAGAGTGACGAATTTCCCCAACCCCAAAGGTCCCAACTCCATATAAAGTCACCCCACAACTTCACTTTGTAACCGCCGCAATTGTAACGCAAGCTCATGAACTTTGAATCTTCATAGCTTTCGCGTTCTTGCTCCGATTGAAGGGATTCTCGTTGCGTCGGAAAGATCTTCTCAAGATCTATCATCACAAAAAACCTGCTCAAACAAAATAACACAAAACACATTCCCAAACTCCAGAACACATCACACACAAATTCTTGCACACGTTCAAACCACACATGCAAGTTGAAAAAATATGGGATGGGAGGCAGACAGAATGTGATAGCATATGATGACATCACACAACAATTACGATTCCTTACAGGGGCTCGCCACAGCGAGTACACGCGAACGGTTCACGTCCGCAGGCTCGGCCCTTGGTTCTCGTGCCAAACCAGCCCCCGTCGACCTCGATGGGCCCAACCTGATCCCGAGTCGCCCCGAACCCATTTTGACCCCGTCACCATCGGGACTATCGAGCCCTTGACTGGTCCAACCCTCGACTTTCAACCCTGGTCAACACACCTATATATTGCCTAGGCCTCATTATTCTTGACAACACTGTAATCACGTTCCCCTATAGTATTCTGCGCTATACTTTGAATTATAGTATATAAAAGCTGGAGTCAGAGCTACGTTCCTGCCCATTACGCTTCCGGTAGGGGAGCAGACCCTATCGGGGAAGGGGGCGGAAGGATGCCGATGGCGAGCGGACGTCGCGGAGATAAATTGTGCGGGTGTTGCCGATGCCGTCAAATCCTGTCCAATGGACGCCTGGGATTGGCCGGTCCTCCCCTTCCCTGGTCGTAGACGGAATTATTTCCCGTCGAAGAGTGGGCGACGTGTTCGCCATGTTTTTGGGGTATGTTCGTTAGAGCTTTCGTGATTTTCGGGTGTCCGGACGGAGTCTTCGGATTGGCTTCCGAAAAAAGAGAAGGCTTCGTCAAGAGAAGACAAGTGCACGGGAGTCCTCAGGCGGCCGGGAGTTGGTCGTCACGAGCACGTGGTGTGAGAGTATGACCCTGTTGCACATCTTTCTCATTTCCATATTTTCCTCTACATCATTCTTCTAATTATCCTAATTCCTTTTATCTTTATCTCATCCCATTTGGTTTCCTATTCCTCCTTTCTCATTGTCCTTTGGGTTATGCTATTATTATAATCATATCACCGACCAGGCTCAAGATGTACTGGCGCTATATCTAGCGTAATCTTGCTGTAATCCCTTAAAGCCAATAGCCTCGCGTGGCTATACGCAGGGTGATTCTATTTCTAGAAGGGCCTATTCCCTTTGGATAGGATAAACCTGGTTACCTGATATACTTCGGAAGTATAAAAGCGCCTTGTATCAATCGATAATTCAACTTTTCCTCGACACATTCGATCCTGTAACACTTGGTAATAAGAGATTTTCTCACTCAGCCGCGCTCAGCTAAGTAGAAGCAGCGGGAAAACCTGCTTCGAAAAACCGCAGGGGGCGACTAATTCGGCGCCGATTCTGGTAAGCACCAGCTCCGCGTTTTTTTAATTAACCCCTCCGCACGTGTTTTGAAACAGGATGGCGAACTTCGACAACGCCGAGATTACCCAGCAGCTCTTCGCGAGCATCGCCGCCCTTCAAGAGGAGATGCGAGCCGATCACAAAGCTTGGCGAAACGAGTTAGAGCGAGTAAATCGACCTGCCGGCGCACAGCACGACACGACAACGGCGACAACGCAGCAGTCGCAGTAGTTTCTCGAGGCTCCGAAATCGCGCCCACCTTAGCCGTTCGATACGAGCGATCGAAATTCCGACGTCCGCAGATGGATCGCCGGCATGGAGATAGAGCTCACCAATATGGGGCGGTCAACGCGTACGACTCGCGGCGACACTGATGCGAGGACCGGCACTCAAGTGGATCGGCGGTAACAGTACCTTCATCCACGGCGAAGCCACGTGGCAGCAGTTTCGAACCGACCTGCTGAAACGCTTCCAGCCGATAAATTTGGGTTTCCTTTCCCGGGAAAAAAATCATCGCCATCGACAATTCGGGAGTGTAGCACAGTATACGCAACAGATGGAGGGATTTTATAACCACATTCCTGACCTGACTGAAGGGGAAAAAGTACAGGCGTATCTCGCCAGGCTGAAGACCGAAGTCAAACGGCAAGTAGCAGCGACAAATTACGCGAGCTACAGTGACGTCGTTTTGGTAGCAGAGCGGTTTGACATGGTCAACGCCGGAACACGACGGGCGCACGTCGGCAGTACGCGATAGGGCGACCGCTCGGCTCACCCCACGTTCACCAACCCGATGGAAATCGACAGGTTCGACAGGCGGTCACTTACGAAAAACTCCAACTACACGTGCGATTTTTTGCGGGGTGCCGGGCCATCGAATCTTCGACTGCAACAAAATGAAAGCTGTACGCGCAGAGTAGCGGGCACGCAACAGTGGCGGAAATTCTTTGGCCACTTAGGAGACAAAAACGGAATTCGCCACTGATTGCGGATCTAGCTCGCGAAAAAGAAAGATCAGGAAGCGGTCGTGGGATTCCGGGAAAACCAACTTCAACGAAGCTCATTCGACGCGAGCAGGAGGAAATGATGGGGAAAAATCTCCACCCCACGACCAGTCTTCGCCAGAGAAAACCGCCAAGAAAAAATCTAACTCCGCAAAAAAGGACTCTGCCGAGACGGGGAAACTCGGAGAAGACCCAAGAAATTATAAGGATTCGTTAAAGTTATCTTATAAAGATGCTTGGTTGAAAACTTATGATTCTCGAGGGGCTAGAGCCTTGGAGAAATTTCGGGAGGGACTCCAGAAGAAGCAGAAACTTGTGGAGATCATACCGGTACCAGAAAACTTGGGGACAAAATTAAGAAGTGGGGAAAGAAGCCGACCTTTCCACGGAGTCAACGTCCTCTCCCGACACCAGCCCACAACGACTTCCTGTTCCACAGGGAAGACGTCGGTAGATCTGAAGTAGCTCAAGAGGAAGCTGGGGGTCTACAAGAAGCTGCAAAAACCTCGAACTCCTCCTTCAGATGCATCCAACTCAGCAAATCCGGCATCAACAACACACACAATCGTCAAGAAAGCTCAGGGTCATGAGGGAGAGAATTTCTCCAAGTGGCTTCGGCCAGCTGCTAACCCACGAGCAGATAGCAAGAAAAAGGTGTGTACGGAATATTGGGATGTACCCTATGATCCTATTAACGAAACTATATTTCGGTACTCCGAGCTACGTTCGCCCCTCGTGCTCAAGGTCGTCTACAGAGGACGATGCCTCCAAGCACTCGTGGAAAGCGTAGCATCACACACCGTCTGCGACAAGGCAGTAATCGACCAACTTCAAGAAGAGTACGAGCCTTCAGTATTCTCTGCAACGATGGTGGACGACAGCAAGTTATCGGTACAAGGCGAAGCAGTGTTACACCTACAAATCGGACCACTGCGCTGGAAACGTGCACTCCCCATCACCGACATAAGAGGGCTGGACTTGATCTTTGGGCGAGACTTCCTAAAAATATTCAACCTCGAGATCAACTGGGTAAATCGTATCGCAAGCATCTACAACAATGGAAGGAGAGTCCAGCTACCCAACTGGGACGATACATGAGATATCCCAGTAGAGACACTGGCACAATTCGAGAAGGACGTAAAGCGAACCGACACCGGGCTGACACGTAGCAACGGAGGTGGAGAACGTTGGGGAGAAAACCTCGGAACCTCCACAAAAAATCAATTAATTGCTGAAGGAGCTCCAAGACATTCTTCTCGACGACCTTCCGAACGAGCTGCAGCCATACCGAACGCACCAGCATGAGATCGTGGAAGAACCAGGTTCGAAGCTGACCTTCCGAGCACCATATTGGCTCAGCCCCATGGAGCTAGCCGACATGAAGAAACAGATCGGGTATCTCCTCGCAAAAGGACTCATCCGACCATCCACTTCGCCATACGGTGCCCCAGTACTCTTCATACCAAAACCAGACGGAAGTCTGCGCATGTGCATCGATTACCGAGCTCTCAACAAGCAGACCATCACGAAAAAATACCCAATACCACGAATCGATGACCTACTTGACCAGCTTAGGGGAACCACAGTATTTTCCAAACTATATCTGCAGTCCGGATACTGGCAGATACGAATGGCGGACAATTCCATCCACAAAACTGCCTTCCGAACTCGGTACGGGCCGTACGAGTATCTGGTAATGCCGTTCGGACTCACCAACGCAACGGCAATGTTCCAAGCCGAAAAGAACCATATTCTATACCCACTCTTGGACGAATGCGTGCTGGATTACCTGGATGTCATCCTCATCTACTCGCGCGACATGCTGTAGCACCTCCAACACCTGCGACGCGTCTTCGACATTCTTCGACGAGAACGATTCAACGTCAAGTTATCCAAGAGCGAATTCGCCCTCAAGAAAGTCCAATTCCTATGACACATGGTGAGCGCTCAAGGAGTTCACGTCGACCCTAAGAAGATCGAAGTCGTACGCACGTGGAAGACACCCGAGAACGTGAAGGAGTTGCAGCAGTTCCTAGGCTTCGCTAACTATTACAACAGGTTCGTGCCACAGTACGCAAAAATCGCAACACCACTCACGAATCTGCTGAAGAAGAACACGCCCTATAAGTGGGAACCAAAACATCAGGAAACCGTGGAGCAGCTAAAACAAGCACAGGTCACTCCTGTTACCTTCTGCTTACGCCTTCCAGCTACCTGGAGAATTCACAACGCCTTCCATGTCCACCTTCTGAAGCCATATTGAGATCCTAACACGGTCTTCACCGGACGCCAACCCCCGTTGCTGCCGCCCGTCCTCGTCCAAGCTGCTGTCATTGAGGCTGTTGCGGCTGCTGCTGCTGCTGCTGCTCCCCCTCCTCCTCCATACCCGCCCCTCCACCAGCAACCCCACTGCCCGCCGCCGGGATGCCCCACGACCAGAAGACCGACCAGCCATAGTGATTGTCGCACCGGTCTCAGCGACAGAGGCGGAGGCAGCAGGGACAGGGAGCTGTGGCGTAGGGCTGCCCCGAAAGATAGGGGTCTTCAGCGACCATTGCTGGTTCGTCGAGCCCGCTGTGACCAGACGTCGTTCCCAAAGACCCGCCAGCGAAGCCAGCCGGGCATTACAGGCAGGCTGTGCTACCGTACGGCCAGCCTAAGGCGACTCCACAGCCGATGCCCGTGCAACCATCGACCGGACGACGAGGACCCAACCGACGACAAACCCCCCCCCCCCCCCCCCCCCCCCCCCCCCGTCAACAACAACCAAGAGTGCTTTTCTCGGACGTGCTCTATGCCAAGGCTCACAGCCGTTTCACAAACGACTGGCAGGCGCGATTACCTTGTCTGGTGATAGTAAAGTCGAAACTCGGCTTCCCTGTGTTCAAGTGTTCCCTTTTCCTGGAGCATGCAAGTCTTCCAAGCAAGGCTAGCAGGTGCGGGCCTGGCAGGCCCCTACATCTGTCTCATGCTGGACAAGAGCACTGACTGATGCCGTGGAAAGCATCTCGTTCGCGAGAGCTGACTGGTTTGCGAATACCTTGCTCTGCTCATAGTGGACAAGGCTGGTGTGACTTCTCTGCTTGCCCTGCAGCTCTCTCATCTCAGTGACATTGGTGTTGACTTGCAGTGTGTCTCCGAGATTAGCACTGACATGGGGGCCGTCATGATGGGAGCCAAGAGTGGACTGCACCTGGAGGTTTTGCATCTGGTCTCATGTCACTGCCTAGCGCATCTGGAAGCACTATGTTTTCTTAATGCCGTGTTCCGATGTTGGCATTGACCACTAGGTACTAATACCACTCGGCTTGGTGTTTCTTGCAAGGAGGCTTTGGCAGCAAAGGCGGCGGAAGAGGATCTTCCTGTCTTCGACATGGTGGACGAATTCATCCAGGAGCTAGCAAAGTACTTCAGAAGGTCGGGCTTGTGGCATCAACAATTTCCCGACCTGCAAGACATCTACCTCTCGACTACCGTGGAAATGCAGGGTATCCACAACATCCGATGGTTGTTGAGAGGCGAGGCTGTGTAGCATCTGCTTGCTGTGCTGCCGGCGCTAGTAGTGATGCTGCGAGAGTTCCTTGACCAGTGGCTGTTCAAGATTGCAACACACTATCGCTTCTGGTTCTTTGTCCATTTCCTAGTGAACGTTCTGGAGCAACTGAACATTCTCAACAAGGGGTTTCCGGAGTGCGAGGTGAGGATTTGGTTGCAATACTACTAGGAAATCAAAGCTATTGTGCTTAGGCAGCTCATCTGTATGACTTGATCTCAGTTCTACCTTGCCCACCATTCTAACCCCGCCCCGCCCCGACACCCCAGCTGTGAGAGTACGACACCATTACACCAATTTCCCCATTTCATATTTCCTCTCTATTTCATTCCTCCTTTTATCCTGATTCATTTGATCTTTATCTCATCTCATTTGGTTTCCTATTCCTCATTTTCCATTATCCTTTGGTTTATCCTGTTATTATAATTATATCACCGACCAGGCTCGGGATGTATTAGCGCGCTATATGTAGCGTAATCCTGCCGTAATCCCTTAAAGCCAATAGCCTCGCGTGGCTATACGCAGGGTAATTATATTTCTAGAAGGGTCTATTCCCTTTGGATAGGATAAACCTGGTTACCTGATGTACTTTGGAAGTATAAAAGCGCCTTGTATCCATCGATAATGCAACTTTTCCTCGACACATTCGATCATGTGACACTTGGTATCAGAGCCAAGGTTTCAGCTCAATGCTTAACCGCTGGGCCCCCTGGAGCACGCCGAGGTTGGAGTCGAAACTTCAATTCCTGTAAGTACAATGCACTTTCATTTAAGTTTCGACAAACCTCGCGTAGTTACACCTGGGGTCCCCTTCGAAGGCGAGATGCCTCGCCGATCGTTCGATGGACTGCATCGACGGAGCCGATTTTTTCGTGGGGGCAAACGGCCTCGACCCCGCGGACGCGTCAGTTCTGGCGGAACACTCCTTGCGACATTCCGAGAAGTTCGCAGTTCGCCACGACTCTTGGAGTTGCGTGGAAATCTGCGGAGCTTCGACCGACGACATCCGTCCGATGGAGATTGGACGCTTCAGATCGACCGAGGCGAAAACGAAACCTTCTGAGCGAGATCGAGATTCAGTGCGAACGGGAACGGGACCTCGCAAGCCGCGAAATTCGTCGGAGCGTCCGATCGTTCGACAGCCGACAATCGACGAACGAGAATTGCTGCAGGAAACGAGTCTACCTGGGCACCGAAAGCTGCTGAACGCGACTCAGGAATATCTTTAGATCGCTTGGAGTTTGGACCGTCGGATCGACTTCTGCTTCAACGGACGAGATGGAGCACGACTTTTGCACAAAGGGAGAAGTACGCGCAGAACCAAAAATCAGCCGCCTTCGACACCGTTCACATCATCTTGACTGCCAGTCTCGAATTCTTCCAATCAAGCACGAATTTGGCGCGAAAAGCATCTGCAGAGTCAGAAATCTGCCATAGTATTACCTACTTGGTAATAGCTGCAAGCAGAAAACGGACAGGAGAACGTGGATCGTCGGATCGTTGCAGAATCAACGGCACGACTGCAACGGAGACTACACTATGGAAAATCATCACAATGGAGACAACATTCGTGACATGGGACTGCAAAATCGACGCATCTTTTGACTAGTGTCGACAACGATCGATTTATTTTGACGAAGTCATCTAAGTTAAAAAATGGATCGACGTCAACATAGCGGATCTTCACCCAGGAAAAACAATGAAGCTGCGTGAAGACATGTTCTCCATCCACGAGACACTTCTTCATATAAAATGATCGACAACCTATGGGATTGCAGAGATGTGGCCATTTTCTCCTGCATACTCCCAAGTTCAAGTTGCTGCGAAGGAGCAGATTTCGCACGCAACGACGACGTAGTGAACTCGTCTCGTCAAGGCCAGCGAGACACTACTTCGTAACAAGAGCTTAACGATTCGTCTTCATCAAGAATCTCAGCCATCCGAAGTGATTGATTGCAGCAGTCTCAACATCGACCTCACGAGGCGACACACCAATCATGCGTCGCGATTCCAGGTGTTAATGACCTGCGTGGAAATGTTTCCGTGCATGTCACGATGCTTGACAGATTGAGGAGTAACTAACCTCTAATCCGGCAAGTATTCGTTCACTAGCGACCTTACGGCACATGCATTGGAGGCGATTCTACCAGAAGCCGAAGCGTTACAAGCATTAGCGTAACTTCGACGATGCAGGAGAACGCCAAGCAACACGAGCTGTCAACACGTGCAGGAGGTGCGGACTACTACAACACAATCACGCGCTCTACCGACCATACATCGGAGGCACAGATGAGCATACCAGGAATTGCTACCCGTGGATACATTGAGGGGAGAAGCAAATTTCTCTTCATACCCTCAAATGAAACCATCACCGGCAGCAATAGAGAAACGCATGTGTGCGTGTTCCTGGTAATTACACCTGTTACACCCATCTGGAACACTCTACAAGGAAGAGGGAGTTGATGGATTCTCTTTCAACCGGTACGAGTTGAGAGAATTCACTGCAGCAGCTGCCGCCGTCGCCATCGTCGCAACTGCCGCCGCCGCCGCAGCAGAAGACTCGACACAACAGTCATATCCAAATCCTGATGGATGGTTCTCCGCTCAATGGAGATAACGCTGGATCATATTCCAGTATGATCGTAAAGTCCCGGCCAGGCACAATACTATGATTTCCAGCTAGTGGGAAAGAGACACCACTATGCGAAGAAACAATATGGCAATGCCAAATACCTTCAAGAGCAGGATATATTTGCTCTTATGAGGATGGGAGGACTACGGTACTCTACCTGTATACAAGTCCTCATGGCCTATGGCTTTCCTTAAAGTCATAAAACCTGCGACGCAACCAATCCATCACCAGCTCCAACTCCAGGGAAACAGATAGGCATGGAATGGAGCGCCGACGCCACTCCGGATAGTGGACTCCGCATATCTCCAACAACACCCTTGTTTGCCGAAATGGACCAGACTTCAACACTGATGCTGAGTAGCTGAGACTTCTTCAACATCAACGCTACTTAAAGGACAGTAACAGAATGAGACAACACATGATGGCACCAGAAGACCTATCCCAATATGTGCGCCCAGACACCGATGCCTACCGATGGCCTCCGTGCACTGGAAGTGCATAAGGTCATACTGGATTGGCAGTCACCAATGCCCATTTGGAAGTGGGAAAGGATTACTTGGGAATACCCATAACATTCCCAGATGTCCTAACATTCCCGTGGGATATCTACGCAGCTGAGATTCCTTACTTGAGCAACCACCGAGGGAATACTTATGCGCCGATTCTGGAAGTTACCAGCTCCGCGTTTGTGGTACCAACCCCTCGCATGGTTCTGAACACAAGGGATATGCTGAGCAGCACTTCGCATGTGCTGTTGTACTCAAGGCAGTGTGACTAGCAGACCGCGTGGTGGAGAGGGTTACTACTAGTGATTCTGCTCTCCAATCTGCAGCACTACGATGCCGAGAGGGTACGACTCACGACAACACTAAGGCATGGACCAGCATTCGACGGAAGCTGCATGTAATGGATACAACGCTGCTACAGAAGCAGGACTATGACACGACTGCAACACCACCAACACTTAGTCATCTTCATACGTGGACGGGATGAGAGTAACACCAGGATGTGCTACCCGAGACTCAACGCATGCTACAGTGTGCCAGCTAGAGCACCCGCCGAAAGGACAGTACATCTACTCTTCTGCTACAACATCTCGATCACGATCAACGCCATCCGCGTACCACCTACAGACGCAACCCGCTCACACCACAACAACCGATAAAATCCATTTCATCACCGGATACGCCACTTGGACATCCAACAGCAGCAGAAGCACCTGGCTACTCATCACCACAGTTATCCGCACCATAATCTCGACATCAGCCATCTTCCATCCAAGCTTCAACCTTGCTTCTGCGAGTCCATCCTCGTTGAAGCAAAGGTCACTTCAGTCACCTTCCGCTCCGCTACCAGCCATAACACCTTCCATACCAGCTTTTTAAACCCTATCAAGACCAAACACGCTCTACAACGAATGCCAACCACCGTCGCCGCCGGTGTTCATCCACGCCATGGGACAACTACGTGCTCGGACACCGTCGTCGTCAGAATGGCACTCTGGAGTTTTCTTTGCTGGAAGGGTTGTGATCCTTCTGAGGCTGCGTCTCTGAATTTGACATGGGGTAACGCCCGTCATCCTCTTCGCGACTACCTTTTCAAGTAGGGTGTTACTTCTACCACCCAGCTTTGAGGGGGGGAAGTGTGAGAGTACGACACCGTTACACCAATTTCCCCTTTTCATATTTCCTCTCTATTTCATTCCTCTTTTTATCTTGATTCATTTTATCTTTATCTCATCTCATTTGGTTTCCTATTCCTCATTTTCCATTATCCTTTGGTTTATCCTGTTATTATAATTATATCACCGACCAGGCTCGGGATGTACTGGCACGCTATATCTAGCATAATCATTTAAAGCCAATAGCCTCGCGTGGCTATACGCAGGGTGATTATATTTCTAGAAGGGTCTATTCCCTTTGGATAGGATAATCCTGGTTACTTGATGTACTCTGGAAGTATAAAAGCACCTAGTACTGATTGATAGTGGAACATTGAGCAAACCTCATTCAATCATGTGACAGTAGCAGCACTACCCGAACGTCCATGTGTCTATCCTCCGCGTCACAAGCCTCTTCGAGAGCCGCTACGTGGACTGCGACGATGAGTGCGAGGGCGGCTTGGGTGATCATCTAACCACCTTCCTCACTCTTCACGGCCCGAGCGGTTCTCGCAAAGTGTCGACTCTGATACGTGCCTTGTGAGGATCATCTTCGAGCTGCGTGTGGAGAAGCTGCCAGGGTACTTGGGTGAAGGAAATCATGACAATTGCATGGTGGCATGTATGGATCTGGTTGAGGGGATGGTGAAGAATCAGGACCTGCGCTTGTGGGATCTACAAAAGCTGTCGAACATTAATCTCTTTTGTGCGAGTGTGTGGGTGAAGGACTGGGACCGGCTTGCGAGGCGCAAACAATGCTTGCAGTGGTTTGAATTTATGGTGGATCTTTACCATGCTAGGGGAAGAGTCGAGATTCTGACTGGTGTGAACCACATGGCCATAGTTAGGTGACCTCTTCCACCGCCCTTGTCATACTGTATGCCCTTATGTGCATATCCGTTTTTGTCCCTTGTTCCCATGCCTAATGGCCTTGCTAGTCTAAAATGCCTTGCATCTCCATGGTACTTGAATGCTCCAACCTGTCATGGCAGGAATTGGCAAACGTCAAGCATTGAAAGAGGAGGACGAGGAACAGGAGGAGGAGGAGGAGGAGGAGGAGGAGGAGGAGGAGGAGGAGGAGGAGGAAGAGGAGGAGGAGCGCTCCAGACTAGGCTCGTGCGAAGCAATAAGGGCAAGGAGGAGGACGAGGAACTGGAGAAGGAGGAGGAGGAGGAGGAGGAGGAGGAGGAGGAGGAGGAGGAGGAGGAGGAGGAGGAGGAGGAGGAGGAGGAGGAGGAGGAGGAGGAGGATGAGGAGGAGGAGGAGGAGGAGGAGGAGGAGGAGGAGGAGGAGGAGGAGGAGGAGGAGGAGGAGGAGGAGGAGGAGGAGGACGAGGACGAGGACGAGGACGATGATGATGATGAGGAGGAGGAGGAGGAGGAGGAGGAGGAGGAGGAGGAGGAGGAGGAGGAGGAGGAGGAGGAGGAGGAGGAGGAGGAGGAGGAGGAGGAGGAGGAGGAGGAGGAGGAGGAGGAGGGGAGAAGAGGGTGAGGGGAGAAGAGGGTGAGGGGAGAAGAGGGTGAGGGGATGAGAGAGTGAGAGGATGAGAGAGTGAGGGAGAAGAGAGTGGAGTAGCCTTTGCTTACATTTTCTTTATTATTACTTACATTTTCTATACAAGGTGTAAGCCTTTGCTGAATTCATTACTCTGTGGTTCCACCTACTCTAGAACTTCGCCCTTCATCAAGTACCTTTGTTACTTGAATATGGTATTCTGAGCAAGTATTCTGAACCCCTTTATCCATTTCTTGGATACCCATTATTAGTCCAACGGATTTCCCTTCTAAAGTAGAATCATCAGTTTATAGTATGTAAGACAAGAGGACAGCCGGTTCTACTAACCACCTACCTCTTGACTCTCTTCTTATGATATACCTGACTTCGCTGCGGTGATGGCCAATCAACCAGTTCAAACACAACAAGTAACGCAGTAGTAAAGGAGAAACTCTCCCATGAGTCTTCATAGCAACAACTACGCTAGAATCACAGCTGTTGCAGTACCTTCATCACCTAAAGAAGAGTCTGCTGGATCCTTTGCCTGCTACAAAATTCCTGCGCAACAGAAACAACGACGCCAACAAAAACAAGAACAACAACAAGAACAAAAAGAACAACAAGAACAACAACAACAAGAACAACAACAACAAGAACAACAAGAACAAGAACAACAAGAACAACAACAACAAGAACAAGAACAAGAACAACAAGAACAACAACAAGAACAACAAGAACAACAACAACAACAACAACAACAACAACAACAACAACAACAATGGCGAAGACAAAGTGAATCATTCTAAACAGGCAACAATGGCGAAGACAAAGTGAATCATTCTAAACAGGCAACAATGGCGAAGACAAAGCGCGTCATCATAAACTAGCAACGGCAAAGACAATGCGCGTCATTATAAACATTTAATGTTCCCAGCAGAATGAATGTGGAAAGGGAGTCGCATGGCGCTAACTGTGGTCGTTTTCTGCTGCATTGTGTGAGCAACCATGTCATCACGGCATCAATGCTGCCCAACGAACCGGTAAGGTGACGCCGCAGAGCCAACAAGGTGCAGTCTGCTGTGGAATCTGTCACATCGCATGTGCGAGTGGGAGGGAAATCCAGCACAAAAAATGCCTCTGGCAGGGTACGTGCATGTAATCACGTGCAGGAAATCTGGCACTTGTCGTAATCCCCCGGATATAGGCGCATATGTGCTTATAGGGGAGCCTCTTGAAATTTCGCATGCACTTTTTATAAGCACATGTTGTTAAGAGCACTTTTAATGGCTCGTTGTATTTGTAATGGAACGGATCATTTTCCAGAGTTGGTCATGTGGATAGATTGGGTGGAAATGGCTCGCAAATATTCCGCGAGCACATCCATGACTGAATCGACCAACCAGAGGTAGAGCTAGTGAGCGGAAAAAACGCTCGTTGCTAGCAAGGTGCTCGGAGGGCTGCGGGGGGGGCTGGTATCTGGGCCCAAAATTGGTTTTGGGGCACCCTTAGGAATCACTGTATTTTTATTTCACCCAAAAAACACCTTTTGATCCTTACAAAATCAGGGTATATTGCAAAAAGTGGCTGCTGGCAAGGGTAAGGAAGGTACTGTAGTTTACCCTTAAAACTTTGGCTTTGGCTAGTGGGGGTTTCCGATGTAAAAAATGTGATGCACTTATAGTATAGGAAACTCGTTTTCAAAAAGGAGTGTGCGCATATTTTGAAAAAAAATGATATACTGTAAGCACACTTGCACTCTATAAGCCCAATGGGCTTAATAAATGGCTATGCCTATATCCAAATGATTACAGTATTTGGTTATTGAAGGTTTCTGTATCAGGATAAATTTAAGGTTGGCCCGCCGGATCAGTGTATACGGGTCCAGAATTCAAAGGGTGAAATACCTTGGTTATCCTTGCTAGTGACCATGTTTTGGAGTGTACCGTCATTTTGTAAGGGTCATAAAGTGTTTTGAGGCTTGATTTGCCCTTGGCGCCCTAACAAATCAAGGTGAAATCATCATGGTACCCTAATTCCTAAGGGTGCACCAAAAACCAATTTGGTCCCTGGTCCGGAACTGGTTTCCAGAAGGGTAAAAAAAACAAAACACTTTTTACACTAGTGTAAACAAAAATCAACTTTCAGATTTTTAATACAGCACACAAAAATAGGAAAATCAGATTTGAGTTTCGTAGCAGATTACGCACCAACCCCGATATAGCAATGTACACTTTACTAACTACAACCCGGGATAAGGAAATACCATTTCCTTACACTCTCCCCCCTCCTAGGTATGGTCTTAGCTAAGACTGCCAACGTCGCGCACATTGCGTGACTGGAGGTAGACTCGTAATACCAGGTAATCCTAAATTTGTGCGAATGGCAACCAGTTGCTTTCCAGTGAAGTTCGGTCCTTACAGGATACTAGGAACTCGATCAGGCGAGCACCTCGAGGTTCTTTTATCCGATGGCTGAGGATCTTCAGGTTTGATGGTTGACTCAGCGAGCAGTCGGATGTTCGGGTTTGCTCGGTGACGTGGTCATCTGCCCGTGCTCGCGATGTATGGTCGGAGCAGCTGCATGTGAAATGATGGGCTGACGTTCTAGGTGGCGGGTAACAGTAGATGGGTTGTAACGGAGGATATCATATGGCTGATTGTAAATGGTCCAATGTAGTGGGGGCGGAGTTCTGGGACTATGGACAATCAAAGGTTCTGGGTATGGAGCAGCACCAAGTCTCTGGCTTGGTAAATCTTGGCCCGGCGGTATATATCCGCATTGTGCTACTGGCTTCTGCTGCTCGCTGCGGGCATCCTGTAAATTTTCCTAAAATTGTTGGGCTCGGGGTACAGGATTCCCGACGTTGGGGGTGATGGGTACTGTGGGGTTTTCTCCGTATTTCTTGCAATAGGGGGGTTGTCGAATAGTGGCTGACTGGGCGTTGTTATAGGCGAACTCAAATAGTGGCAGTTGCTGTTCCTAGTTGGCCACATCATTACAGGTGGTGCAAATCAGTTGCTCCATCGAGTGATTGGCCTGTTTGGTCAGTCAGTTAGTTTTGGGGTGATAGGCAGAGGAAAATTGTATGCACGTGCTAAACTAATCCCACAGATTTTGCCAGAAGTTACTAGTGAACTTTGTGTCACGGTCGGAATGTTGGCGGATGGGACGCGTGGAGTCGGTCGACGGCTGAGATGCTTTTCCTGCAGGCGGCAAAATGGGCCATCTTAGTCAGCTTGTCGATGATGACGAATCGCGTCATTGTAGCCGTCCTTGGCAAGCAACCCCGTGACGAAGTCCATCGTCACCTGCTGCCACGCACACCCGGGCGGTGGAATCGGTTGCAACTGTCCAGCTGGCTTATGCTTCAATGACTTCATGGCTTGGCATGATCTGCACGACACCACATACTACTGCACATCCCCTTGCATCATAGGCCAGAAATAATATCATGTAAGTTGCTGTCTTGTTTTTTCCACTCCAAAATGTTCTGAGACCATATTGTCGTGGTCTTATTGTAGTAATAGCATACGTAATAGAGTGTACTCTGGTACCCAGATGCGGTCAATCCCTATCTTTACATAATAAACTCCCCTAGCTGTTGCGAGCTGTTCGTACGCGCCCGAGGTAAAGAATCTGTCCGTCAGGTACCCATAGGTAAATAGGCCTGTTAAATGCATGGAGGTTTGAGCAAGAATGATTGAGTTGAGATGGGGAGATGGGTGAGAAAGGATGTCTGCGATATTGGCTGCCCCTTTCTTGTACATGACAGTGTAGTGGAAGTTGGACTTCATAGAATCCAACCACCGAATCTGTCGCAGTTTGCTTAATCATACGCGATTGGCGGTAGTGTCACACGATCGAATGAGGTTTGCTCAATGTTGCATTATCGATCTATACAAGGTGCTTTTATACTTTCACAATACATCAGGTAACCAGGCTTATCATATCCAAAGGATATAGACCCTTCTAGAAATAGAATCACGCTGCGTACAGCCATGCAAGACTATTGGCTTCAAGGGATTACGGCAGGATTGCGCTAGATATAGCGCTCCAGTACATCCCGAGCCTGGTCCGTGATATAATGATAATAATAGGGTAAAACAAAGGTTAATGGAAAATGAGGAATATGAAACCAAATGAGATGAGATGAAGACCAAAAAAATCAAGATAAAAAGAGGGATGAAATAGAAAGGAAATATGGAAATAGTACTCTAACGGGGTCGTACTCTCACACTTCCCTCCCTGAAATTTGGGTGGTAAAAGTAACACCCTGCTTGACAAGGTAGCCGCGAAGAGGATGACGAGCGTTACCCATGTCGAATTCAGAGACGTAGCCTCAGAAGGTCATAACCCTTTCAGCAAAGAAGAAGCTCCAGGGTGCCATGCCGATGATGACGGTGTGCAAGGAGAGACTCAACCTCGTACTCGGGTTCACCGTTGATGAGGACTGGCGGCGGCGGTTGCCGTTTGGTGTAGAGTATGCTCGGTCAAAATAGGGTTTGAGAAGCTGGATATGGAAGGCATTATGGTTTATCCAGATGGCTGGTAGGTGTAAGCGGAAGGTGTCTGAAGTGACCTGAGCTTCAATGAGGATTGGCCCAGGCAGGGTCGAAGCTTGAATGGAAGATGGCGGATATCGAGATTACGCCTGGATAACGGTAATGATGAGCGACCACGTGCTTCTGCTGCTGTTGGATGTCCAAGAGGCATATCCGGTCTTAGAGCTGGTGGACAATGGTGATGAAATGGAACTCTTCCATGTAGAGTCTTCCTAATGGGTGTAACAGGCGACCAGGAACAAGTTCGCATTGGTACACACGTGTTCCTCCATTGCTGCCGGTGATGGCTTGATTTGAGGGTATGAAGAGAATTTTGCTTCTCCCCTCTATGTATCCATGGGTAGCAATTCCTGGTATGCTCATCCATGCCTCCGATGCACAGTCAGTAGAGCGCGTGATCGTGTTGCAGTAATCAATATCTCTCTCATTCGTTGACACCTCGTGTTGCTTGGCGTTCTCTTGCATCATCGAAGTTACAGTACATTGGTGCTTGTAACGCTTCGGCTTCTGTTAGAATTGCCTCCAACGCATGTGGCGTAGGGTCGCTAGTGAGCGAGTACTTGCCAGATTAGAGGTTAATTGCTCCTCAATCCATCAAGCATCGTGACATGCACAAGGAATTTCTACGCAAGTCATTAACGCATGGAATCGCGTCATATGATCAGTGTGTTGCCTCGTGAGGTTGTCATTGAGAATGCTCCAACAAATCACTTCGGATGGCTGAGATTCTTCATGAAGAAGAATCGATCAGCTCCTGTTACGAAGTAGTGTCTCACTGGCCTTGACAAGACGGGTACGCTGCGTCGTCATTGCGCACGAAATTTGCTCCTTCGCAGCAACTTGAACTTGGGAGCATCGCAAGAGAAAACTACTACTTCTCTACAATCCCATGGCTTGTCGATCATTTTATGTGGATGGAGAGCATGTCGTCACGCAACTCCTTGGTTTTTTCCGAGTGAAGATCCGTTGTGTCGATGTCGATCTATATTTAACGAAAAAAAAATGTAACTTCGACAAAATAGATAGATCGTTATCAATACTAGGTAGAAGATACGCTGATTGTGCAGTCGCCGGTTACAAATTTTGTTTCCATGGTAATGCTTTTTCATAGCATAGTCTCCGCTGCATTCGTACAGTTGATTTTGCACCAATTTGACGATCCACGTTCTCCTGTCAATTTTCTGCTTGCAGCTATTACCAAGTAGGTAATTCTGTGGCGTCGGATTCCAGGTCGACTTGTTTCTTTTGCAGCGATTCTCGGTCGTCGATGTCGGCTGTCGAACGATTGGACGC